GGATAGTTCAGTAGTAATTTTTAGGAGCAAGACATTTAATTTAATTTGAGAGAGGAAAGTCATGAAATTTAAAAATTAACTGAAAATTTAATGGAATTCAACATTTCTTAACAGTATGAAAATAAAAAGTTGCTTGAATTTTCATTTAAAACGTGAATATTCTGCACCCAATTTCTTACTCTGTATTTTCGATTGATAAACCAATTATAATTGTTCTAATCATTTAGGTCGGGGGCAATAGAATGATTCAACTTTCTTAATGTTGCGTTTACTAAGGTTTTCTCCAAAGTTGATTAGAATCAATAACTAGAATTATGAGTTTATTATGACATTTTTTACATGAAGTGCAGAAGAATCTGAATGCACTACAGTGCAAATGATGATAGATTTTTTCACGTTGAACAAAGAATAATAATAATATAGGAATAAGAAAATTCAGTTATGAGTGAACAGCTGTGGCTCAATATTCCATAACAGTAGAGAACAGGAATGATGATATTTTCATAATATCTGACACATTAACATGAATTTCAGATTCACAAAAAAGAATCAAGCAGAAGTCAAATTGTCATTTTACGTTTTAATTTCCAAAATTTGGTGCTGAAAACATGCGGTGACAATATTCTAAATGGGGAATTATGTTGATGATATGAACAATAGATTAATTGAATTACCGAGTGAACTGATTGAAAAATTGTATCACGGTGTTGGCAAGCACTTTTACCAGAGTATCACCAAACATTGAATTTCGGCAATTTACTCTTCCAATTATGTTCGAGTAGAAATTGGATTGTAATTATGATTGAAATCTTATTCAATGAGTNAGCACTTTTACCAGAGTATCACCAAACATTGAATTTCGGCAATTTACTCTTCCAATTATGTTCGAGTAGAAATTGGATTGTAATTATGATTGAAATCTTATTCAGTGAGCAGAGGAATTAGCATATGTGCAGATTATTTATTCCAATATAAATATTTCATAGTTAATAAATTGAGGCACATCATTTTCATCAGTCGCACTGCTTTTTGCAATGACAATGATTATGAACAATGAATGGAAGAAAGGAATTCTGAGTCCGACGGGAAAAAAGGCAAAATGAACATTGCAGCCGGAATTGTGTTATAAATATGGTAAGAGAACCCTTCAGCTTGACTAAGATAGTAATCCAAAGTCGAAACTATTGAAACTGATAATATGAAAATTATAGAGTAGGTTTTATCTTTTATGTGAGCACTCATCAAGAGATTGTTAGAAATTAATAAATACGTGTTTCAGCCTCGTTACAAAATCCATCTCTAAGGGGGTGAATAGGGAATGAATTATAGAAACTTTGAGGAAGGCTGCAGGTTTCCAAAAAAATCAGAACTGTCAATTTTTTCCCCAAATGTAAGATAATTCGGGAGTTTTCCAAAAATTCAAGACAATTATGAGGTTTTCTGAAGAACTTAAAGACAATCTATGGAGTTTTTGAAAATTACAAAGCATTTACAATATCTCTCAAATATTCGAGGATTGTTGAATAAATAATGGGAAAACAATTGATAGGAAAGGGCGGCATTTCGCAAATAAAACTGATTTGAAGCAGTCATGAAAGCCCGAATACTGCACTCTGATTAATTGAAATGCGAAAGGAGGAAATAATTTGGTAATTTTTCGGATTTTCTTCACAATTCCACAAAAATTTTCAAGTTTCTTGAAAAAAATTCATATAAATTTCGAAAGATTATAGAAAATTTGAAAAAATTTCAGATAATTCATCAAAGTTTGAAGTTTATGACATCGTCGAATAAAATTGTGAAAAAAATCATGAATGAAGCGAAGACACTTCGAATTAGCGAAAGAACATCAGAATTGACCCCATAATTTTTCTGGAAAAATAATTGAATACTTTTGTCAAGTTGTAAACGGAAATAAAGAGGGAGGCGAAGACAAAAAAATTATGGACTGTGAGAAATTTGATAATTGTTGTTTTGCACTCTGAATATAATTTTGATTACAATAGTAATTAAAATTTCATTCAATGAGGACGGAAACTCAGAATTAGTGGATCACTTATTATAATATTGAAATTGAACAAGCAATGAACCGAGACGCATTGTTTTCATTAACTTTGACACTCAATAGACTAAAACGACGATAAATCATTAATTTTCGAAAGAAACAAAAAAAGCAAAGGCATAATAAATGGGCATCAACGTCGCGGCCGCGGCGGTGCTAGTCCAAACATAAACCGATAACCTCACAAACAGTGCATAAACTACCTTTATATCCGAGGTCCGCATATGAATGCAGATATGGCGGGATGAAATTCGAATTTTCGACGAGAGAAAACAAAATAGAACGCCGAGTCGATTTTCTGTTTCATTCTAATTAGTGATTTAACGTGAAGAAGAACATTTTCTGTCGTTCTCCATAACAACATCACAACCCACATTCAAATGCACTGGTGGCAACACTTCAACGTTTGGTATGAAGCTCAGTTGGACCGGCGCTGCCAACGTTACAGCTTGATTCTCGCACTTTACAATGTGAATCGCGAGAATGTGAATATCAACACGTTGCTATGCACCTATCTTTTTTACTGTTAATCCAAAAAATACCATAGTTACACCGTTGAAAAGCTCATAGACGATTCATATAATGTAACTAACGACACTTTCCCGATTTGTTGTCCCGTTTTCATTATACCGAATGTAAATCATTTAGAGGTAGTGGGGGGGAAGTTCTGTCATGTATAGATACGCGATGCTCTCGGCCTGATGTTTTGCTCAGTCGATCAAACCTGAAGTTTTGCTCAGTCGATCAAAACTTTTCTTGGTCGATACGCTACCGCGTATCTCGATCATTTATTAAAAATATTTATCCTTCTCACACCACCCTCAACTTGTTCCATAACACTTTCGTGGTGCTAAGGATTTGGTGGTGACCACTTTTGAGCCTGGGAATTCACCAAACGACGAGAATTTATGGAGCTCAGATTTGCCCGCATTTCGATAGTTTTTTTTACCCTCGTGCCCTCTTAAACTTTTCTCGAAATAGTACATTACATGCCCGAGCTTTGGAAAACAGATCACCGTCCCCCACGTGCTTGCCCGTGGGGGAGGGTGATATGTTTTCCATGGCGAGGGACCTGTAAAACGCCAATTTCGTGGCGCGCAGCGCCACGAAAATGGGGGTTTTTTTAGGTCCCGCGACACGAAATAGTATATTTCGTCATTAGACCGAAAAAAACTTTTATAGCGAATATGAGGTTTGTAGCACGAGCCGAAGGCGAGGGCTGCAATCATATTCGTCAGAAAAGTTTTTTTCTGTACTGCTTCTCACGATTTCTCGTCTGGGAATTGGTATTACATACTTCCCAAACTCGAAAACTTGAAAATCACTACAGAAAAATATTGTTCCTGGGCTGTTGCGGTCGGGTTTTTTTTACTCGTGTGGTTGGCCACTCCTCGCCTACGGCTCGGAGGCCAACGCCACACGAGTAAAAAACCCCATCGCAACAGGCCGGAAAAATACTATTTTGGCCGTATGACGGACAATATTTTTTGTCATGACGGCCGTAGGCAGAGATTCACGGACGCGGAGCGAAGCGGAGACGAAGGCATAGTCCATCCGCTAGGTATCATTGAGCATCCATTTTGAGAGATATTGGTCGACTTGGTGTTTTTTTGTTTTTCGATGCGAAGAATCCGAATTTGAAGGTCGTTTGGACGAAAACCGATGCAAAAAAAAGTTATTAACAATTCAATTGTTGATATGGGCGTGGAATGAATACTAGAAGTCCAATCAAAATTTTTTTAGAATGAAAAAGATGCAGTTCAAAGAGATGAATGAAACTAAATTAATAAAATTCTGATCCGTCAAGATTTAGTCTGATAGTGGGAATTGTTAATTAGCGGGCGTCAGCTGTGAGGAACCGCGCGCGCGGTATCAATCGACTCGAACGTCTGGACGGTGAATGACACTTTTTGAGAATTGTTTCTTCTTCATTTTATGCATCGTTTTTTTCCTATCATCCTCATCATTACTCAAAATATGTAATTTTTAAATGTAAAGGGTAATTGTTAATCAATGAGTGGGCACACTCAGAGTACTGCACCAATCACATAGGGTACGATAAGTGGCAGGAGCGGTCTAGAGGACTAATAAATGTACATCAGGTGAAGAGAATAGTTTATTTATTATCTACTGAAGAGTTTTGAGGATTGTAACGGTTCTTGTAACCATCCAATTTCCGACATGAACAATACGACGTGCATTTTGATTTTCGAGTCAATTCTGCCAAGAACACTCATCGAACATCCATAACAAATGAGAAATTGAGAGAAGGCATAGATAAAAATACTGTCCATAAAATGAAGGAGAAACACTTCTCAAAAAAGTGTCATTTACCGTCCAGACGTTCGAGGCGATTGATACCACGCACGCGGTTCCTCACAGCTGGCGCCCGCTAATTAACAATTCCCATTATCAGACTAAATATTGACGGATCAGAATTTTTTTTATTTAGTTTCATTCATCTCTTTGAACTGCATCTTTTTCATTCTAAAAAAATTTTGATTGGACTTCTAGTATTCATTCCACGCCCATATCAACAATTGAATTGTTAATAACTTTTTTTTGCATCGGTTTTCGTCCAAACGACCTTCAAATTCGGATTCTTCGCATCGAAAAACAAAAAAACACCAAGTCGACCAATACCTCCCAAAATGGATGCTCAATGGTACCTAGCGTATGGGCTAGCAAGGGCTCGGCTTCGCTCCGCGTCCGTGAATCTCTGCCTACGGCCGTCATGACAAAAAAGATTTTTTTCTTTTCTGTGCAAAAATTGGATTCATTTTCTTGAGAGGTTGAAAAAAAAAGTTGTTAGGCAGAGCTTTCCAACGGAAATTTCACGGACTATCTCATGAATAGAACCATTCAAGAAAATCAAAACATATAATCAACGACGTCGACCACTTACAAAATTAAAAACCCCTTTTTTATTTCATTTCAGGTGGAAAACCAGACGACATTACGGTGCTCCTAGCTACAGTGGCCATTTAATAAACCCAGAAGCCTGTACAATAGATAATTACCCGATAATTATGATTTCCCCATTCACAGCCACTGATCATTGTATTATACTTCATTTCATACATCAAGTGTAATAAATGTTTTCTTCTTTCGTGATAAGTTACAATTGTTTTGATCAGAATGAAAAAACCTCGAAAATGTAAAAAAAAATTCTCAAAATCAAAATTCAGAACCAAATTTTAAAAACGTCATTTCCATTTACTAGAAATTAATTCTTTCTTTTCATTAATCTCTTTTTGTATATTTTTTGGTTCTATATGAATTGTTGTGTTTTGTTTATTTATAAATTTTATCTTTTTTTTGCCTCGATCAAAAGCAATAACTGGAGTAGTTAATAAGAGCTAAAATTGTATACTTCAATCTGTATAAAAATGAAACCAGTGAAAATTTGGTTTTTTCTTTCCTTTGAGAAATTTCTCCAATTTGTAATGATTGGTAAAAGAAAATTGAGAGAATGATTAGAAACATTTTATTCCTCCTCTTTTTAATATTTATTAACATTCATGTTTACTTTGATCCAATTTTAGAAAATTGTCAGAAACTAAAAATTCCACCCTTGACCTCTGTGTTCTTTCAACGAAAGAAAATTAGAAAGACCTGAATTTCAGACATAAATAATTGATGAAAATCCATAAAGCACACACGCACAGCCTCGAAAAGAAGCTGACGATCCGCAGGTTTTCAAAAAGCCCCGAATAATTACCTAAACAATTGAAAATAGATGAAAATGCATCCAAATGACAGAGAAAAGTCGAAAAAAGCAAAAACGGGGAAGAAAAAATAGAATTAAGACTATGAAGAAATTGTTATCTAATTCTGATCATTAAAAATAGGCAAACCAACTGATAAGTCATTTCACATCATAAGCTGATTATTAAATAATTCCCCGCCATTTTGAAAAATTGTTCACGTTTGGAAAAAATCAGTTATTCTTTGTTTCCCTTATTATTTCGCTTTATTTCCTCTTAAATACATTCCAGTAGTAATGATTACTCTAATGACAGTACGAATAATAATATTAATAGTCATAATTCATCTATCTATTATTTACAAGCACATGAATAAAAAAACCCCCTAGGTATAAGACAATTTTCCGTCGTTTTTATATCTGATGTGCGATATTTATCGTGCAGTCAAAATATTCTCGTTCTTTTCCTTCACTCGAGGAGGAGACAGTCGAGTGTCCAGAGATCACAGCATTCATTTAACTCCAAATCATTTCTATCTTCTTGATGTAAAACTTTTCATCCAGAAAGGTAAAAAAAAACACTTGTGGAATCATTAGAATTTCTGTTGAATTTCATTTTTCACTGTAAGTCTGCATCCTGACCCCAATTGAAGCCTCCTGGGCGATCCTCTGGGAGGGGTGCGTAGTTTGGATCTGCTGGAGGTTCGTCGAACAGTTTTTTACTTGGAAAAAAAAGAAGAACGAAAATTTTCTCAACTTTTATTGTTAAGATTTTAGGCCACTCTAGTTCTGTTCAAAGTAAGTTTTTTTGAGAGTATCTAGACTGATAGAAAATTTCACTTGAAGTTTCGAATAAAAAATTCTAGGAATATTCGATAACACAAAATTCACGTATGTTTGTTTTTTTGCATATTTCGATTATGTGTAATTCACTTTCCAGCTGAATCGATTGGAAATCGAAGCAGTTTAATCCATTTCAATCTGATTTGCCTTTTACAAGCCTCGAAAAATGTCAATGTTTTTTTCAGACTTTTTTGCCTGCTACTCCTATTGTGAACGACAACAGCCGATTACGCTTCTTATTACAATTATATTCTCAGGACTATCCATAATGCTATTTTGGAATGGAATTGGAACTAGAGTTGGACCGGAGCTCTGTATAGGACTCTCAGGACTATGGATAGTGCTGAACTATACAATAAAACCGTCTCTACAACGCCCAATAATTTCCAATTTTACCTTGACCACGACAAACTTTCAATACGATAATTTTCAATAGAAAAAAAAAACAAATGAAATTAGGGAATTTTCAGAATTTTAATAGAACACCAATCAAATTGTCATAATATACCCAATCGAAATTCAAAAAAAGCTGTCAGAGGAAGCACTAGATTTTCCGTAGCGAACTCTAGCAGAAAATGGAGTAACTGGTAAAAATAAAAGTATTTTTTATAAATTTTTGCTTAAAATATTGACTCTTTGACTTGAATTATTGCGCTTCTTAAAAGAATATTGGAGTATTTTGTGAAAGCAATACGTTAAGATTACTAAAGTTCTTACTAAAGTTAAGATTACTAAAGTTCAGAGGCAACCTTCAATATTTTTTCTTTCTACAAACATAAGTTGTAAATCGATAAATAATTCTATCTTGGATCCAATTTAAAGTAACAAGAATGAAAAAATTCATTCATTTTTATTTTTTACTGAGCTTTGAATATACTTCAAAATTCATTTCTGAGCTATGAATATACTTAGAAGAGTAACAAGTGTCTCTTTTCATCCGTCTCCCCTAAACTTACGAAATGCTGGCTTTTCGCATAAAATTCAGCATAACACCTTTGTTACACCCTCAGATTTGAAAATATTCATGAAAAACTGATCTGAATCTATTAAAGACAACTTACCACTATTTGCAATTTTATTACTCAATTGATTTTCGTGGTTTTGCATTAATTTAGAATTCGTTGAAAAATCTTGAATGATTTTTCCAATATTTCCGAATTTTTGAAATAATGATGTTGGAGTTCACATTCCATGATTACAAAAATTAATTTTATATTTCACAGTATGTTTATATTATTATAAGAAAACATTTTTCTGATCTGAAATTCTGAGAAGAGCGTGGACGAATGTTTGGGCATTTGGTTTTTCAGTCTAAACATCTGTAAATGAATAGAGACTTTTGTGGGTCTATGTCGCCAGGGTTTCAGACCTCTGGGATCTTTGTTTCTTTAGTTAGTATCTGAGGAGCTCAAAGCGTGTGGATGTGTCTTCCTCGTATATAATTTCAAATAAAGAAAAGTTTCAACTCAACCGGATTGATTTTTATTCAAAATCACCCATTTCCAATAAATGAAAACGGCTTCTGAAGACATAACTGAAGATTAAATCTTTTTTGTCAATTTTACATCATTCAAAGATTTGGGTTGGAAAAATAATTACTTTATATGATACGTGCGTGTAACCGCATGGGTTTCAGTTGACTATAGTCAACTG